TTTTTCAATCTGACAGTCATTGCGACATCGGTTCCGTTCTGCTTGATCTATGGCTTTTATCAGATAGACAACTTCCTGTTTTGCTTGCTAAGGTATTGGAGTCTTTAGAAACAATACTGAGAACACGTCAAGATTGGTTTTCAAAGAACATCTACAAATACCACACCTGTTTGATATTGAGGTAGTAAAGTGACTTTGTATGTGTGGAGTTGTAGTCATCACACTTGAGCCATTGTCTGTTCCTGTTTCCTGTAGTACTGTACTGACAATAGCTTCTAGGTATGCCTTAACACACTTTTATATGAAAGTTTTTTATCTTTTTTTTTTAGTCTGAAAGTGTATTTCACTTGGTAATTAAATGTTTGTATGTACATGAACAGTACTATTTCAATTTGAGTAATATTCAGTATTTTAAAGTGGTTTCCTCCTGTCCTTAAATAATTATGGTTTATATGTATCATTAACATTTGTTACTTAACATTCACATGCTTAACTTAAGATTATTCTTTTTCTTTATTTTCTTTCACATCAAAAATGTTCCATGAAAAATCACCAGTTTTGTTTATTTCTTTTAGATACAATTTTAGCAATTGTGTATAAAAAAAAATACTTCTGACCTTCCCACAAAATATATATATATTTTGTTTAATTACAGGTCAGTGAGGGTGTTGCTTTGGAAAACATATGAAAACTTAATAAATACTGGGGGAAAAAATCAATTGTGAGAATAATGTGAGCTCATTTCTGTGGATGATTACCTTGAAACAGCTGCTGAAGTTAGTTATCGAACAACTTGATTTAAGGATCTTCTGCAAACACTATGAAAAAATCAGAATGTGCCATATTTCAAGCTCATTGTAATGCAGAATTGCATTTTCTGGTTAAACTTTTTTGTTCTATGCATTAACTTTAATTGATTTAGATATGTTTCTTTCATTTTGCACAATATTTCCATTGTGCGAGTTAGGACGAGTATGAAAAGGGTTCCAAGCCAATTTCTTTTTCTGTATTCTTTTTCTAGCGGGGGCTAAAGTCTTTGTTTGCGATCAGTGTGGAGCACAGTTTTCAACAGAGGACGCCCTCGAAGCACACAGACAGACGCACACAGGTAAGATAGTCTTGGCACCACTAATGTGGACTGGGACCTGCAAAACCACACTTTCTTTCCTCATATGCCTTGAAGATCAGAGTTTGTATCACCATTTCAAAAGGATAAATAAGAAATACATTGATACAGATACAGGTATGTGCGAGGGTATACTGAACCTCTGCAGGAGTCTGTGCCTCTTTCTACACTCGCTCGTGCACTATGTAGTTTCACGCCATGAAAGTGTATATTATCTGCACCTACTCCGGAGTACAAAGCCAGCCATGTTCTGGGTTTCAGTTGTAAAACCTTTGCTTGAAGAATGATGTTCTGTGGCAGTTCTTGACCACTCTATGTTGAGACCTGGTCCAAGAAAAGAAGACTTTTAAGTCCCTTTGTCTTCATCCCTACTGTTTTGCATGCAGTTTGTAGGCCGTTTTTTGCTCTTATACTTGTAAAAAAATAAAAAATAAAATAAGAGTGCCAACAGACGCCTCTAAAATGCCTGTGAGAAAAGGCACAAGATGAGTAAGTTTAGCATTGCACATCACATTCAGGGGTCCTCCAGCACAGTAAAATAAATCACCCTCGCAGGTTGTTGCCAACACCGCGGTTGAAAGGTGCTTTCAGAAGCTGTTTTGGCTGGAATAGCACAAAGGCGTGGCAGAACAAAAGCAAAGAGCAAATCTGCGCAAAAATAACAAATAATCTTATGACCGGCACGTGATTGGAAATGGAGTGAGTGGGGAGGGAAAGTGCAGATGAGCCATTCAGATGCTTTGACATATTTGAGTAGAAGCTGAGGAGGGTAATGGCTATAACAAGACCTGACCTGGAGAGGCCTGGTTGTTTACCAGCATTTGTGGTGTAAGAGTGGCGTTACCGGGAGTGCAAACTTCACCTCATTTTAAAAGCCATGTACGCAAGAAACCCCTTCTTAATTTAGAAGGGAGGTGAGAGGGGAGTTCTCAGATTACGTCGGATAAAGTTGCAAGGCATCCCATCACACTCGTTAGGGTACGTCACCGTTATAGCTTTTAATACATTAGGAAGTTTGCCATGTTACAGCCTGTCCATTACATTGTAAAAGATATGCCATGTGTGGCCAAATTGCAGGTTATTGCAGGACCCAGATTTCCTACTTTTGACTATTTTCTAACTAGCTATGCACTAGTTATACACAGATAACAAGTATACACAGATAATAAGCAAAAGCAAAAGACGGTAGTTTTCAAAGGAAAAAGTAATAGGTTTATTCCGTGCTGAAAAGAGAAGAAAGAAGACCCGACAGAAGGCTCCGCGGCCGAAATGTTGCGTTTTCTCTCTTCTCTTTTCAGCATGGAATAAACCTACTGTATTACTTGTTCCTTTGCAGCCGACACCTGCTGATGCAACTCCCCACCTGAACTAAGACAGTAGTTTTGTTGTCAGTCCTTTACAAAGGCAATGAAACACAGGTAATAGATGAATTTACAAGGCCTAGAACAATCTGAGACGCGCTCTTAGAATGCTAATGAACATCAACGTGCGGCAGTCGAAACGCTGGCTAAATTTAGAAGTCCAAAGCAGCGAGGTTCTTGTCTTCCTTCCAGGGGCTTAAGCAGCAGATACCAGCTGCCCCCGTGGCTGTCAAGCTTATTTTTTAAAATACGCCCTAATGCATGGTTGGTAAATATGCTAGATTTTCTTCACTGTGGCCGCCCAAATGCTGAACTTTCCAAGCAAAACTGGATTTGTAGATGGTCTTATACTGTATATATATCACATACAGCATATATTTCTGTATCTCAGAGTTGGTGGTTGGTGGCTGAAAGGATGGCATGACCCTCATCCTTACATCAAAGATGCAAATAAACTGTACACGTTGCAAAAGAGTGGGTCCAGAAATAAGGGGTTAAAAAACCTGATCAAGATCTCCTGGGGAGTGGCAGCAAGTACACATTCAAACACGTCTCGGATACCAGGCGAGGACAGCCCACTGTCTTGTCAGTCAGGACGATCTGGGCAAGACTGAGCAAGGCGGTTCTTCAGAATACACTCACAGTTCTGAAATCCTTTCAGTTAGCTTTCAGCTTCAGCTCCATTTGAGCAATTGTGCATAGAACACACTATATTTGACTGGTCACTCTGTTGAAGGCCCCTTAATTGATCACTTCAACTTCCTTCGATTTGGGTTAAATTATATGTTCCTAAAACATATTAGTAAGTATGCATGTATTTTTTTTCCTTCTACAGCAGTAATGCCATTGGAGCATTTTTACTAAACATTTTTTTTTTAGAAAACCACAGCATTCAAAAGTGTGATGATGTTTTATGTACCTTTCACAGTTCGGTCATGAGATGTTTTTTTTTTTAACCTATTCATTATTAAAAAAAACGTTCAGAGAGATGCAGTGTCTTTCCCTGTACGGTGAATTTCACAGAATAAGAAACAGGATACTCGGGACAGGAACTGTCATCAAATGGAGCTGCAACTCTGTGTGGCACACACAACATAAATAGTTAATGCCTGTCGACATGGAGGTGGTGTTTATAATGCCCAGAATTTTCGACCTTGTCTCCTGGAGTTGTAAACATCCAGTTCTCAGTTTCCCTTTGGCAGGGTGTTCAGCGAAAGGGTACAGGAGGGTGGAAAGTACTGGTTGCTTCCTGTTCTTCTGCAGATATCAAATCTTGCCTTCAGTAGCATAAATATTTTACGGTAACTGAAGACTTCCAGAAATTCCTCAAGAAGGAGTCTGGGAAGTGCAACGCTTATAATTTGCAGCCACAAAAATACAAGGATTACACTCACCTTGGATATTATTTTATCTCCCCCCCTTAGATAATTGATGATTAGGTTATTTTGTAATAGTCTTCTTGTGATGTCCAGACTTACTGTATCTGTACAAAGGACACAGTTTGACTCTCAGGTGTTTTGACAGATACACTCCAGATATGTTTATGATTTTGCACTTTGGTGGGTCAGATATGCCAGCCAAAGCATTGAATTTTAAGAATAATGGTTGCAAATGAAGGTCTAATGCAAATCTTAAGGAATCTGGACTGAACAAACGCTTTTCACAAACCCATTAAGCTGTTCTTTAGTCCACTAATGGATGCCCACAAGTATATAGTGCATTGCCTGTATGTCCTGCCCTACTTTTTAACTGTGCAATTCAGAAACTTAAATGCCCATTGTTGAGACAGCTAGCTCAATCTGCGACAATAGGAGTAGTGGAAATTAGCAGTTTAGCTGTAGCCTTTGAAATTATAATTTGGGGGAATTGTAGTGCAAGGTTTGCAATCACTCTTTTACTTTTTCATTAATTATTTTTCTGTTTTATCATGGAAAATTTTATGGGATTGGGTCACTGAGCCTAAGCAATTTTAAATAATTAAATTTACTGAGTGAACATAGTCACCATACATTTTTATCGCCATGAAATATGACTAGAAGCCAATGTAATTCTCCTTTGGCAGACATCAACATTCGATTGTGCTGTATTAATAATCCCGAGCAGCCAGTTTGAAGCCATCAGGTCTGTCCAAGTTTGAGAAGCAAATTATCCCACATGAGAAAGATGTTCTTACATTATAAGCAGACTGTAATTACAGCAATCATCCTATAATATAATCATATTTGGCTGGGAAAAAATGTCAAAGGTGAATTGTATAATATTGCAGTCAAGGTATTGACATAAAGAGAAGAGAGAGTTTTGTTAGGGCATGGGACTGGTTGGTAGCATTTGGTGCCAGGATTTTCAGAAAAACAACATCATGTGCTGTTGTTTATCCACTGCTACAGTGTGCTGTCATAGCCTTGGCTCTGACCTAGTTTAAGGGCAACAAATTGAAAGGATATAAATGTTTCTGGATCACATCTTTCAATGTAGGTATCTGTAATTAAAGGAAGGCTTTTTATGTGTTTGTGCATTGTAATATTAGACTCTCAGGTGTTGGAGCATGCTGCAAGATGAAATGGTGCATGTATTATTGTATTCACAGCATATACATATACAAATACAAGCATAACCATACATAAATATCTCCGCGTATTGCACTGCACTACATGTTGCAATGAAGAGTTACATTTACCCCATGACATGTACTGTAGAGCTCTGGTTCTGAATCACAGCCATAAACTGTCCACAAGCTATAATCAAGCCATGTGTCAAAAGGAAAGTAGCTGTAGTTTTCCCAGCTGTATAGAATCACAAAGAACCGAGAGGATTTAATAGAAATGAAATGTACATATCGCTTTCCACAAGATAGGTGCTCTTGTCAGGACATTATAAATTGTTTTGGTCTCCCTGAAATCACTGTTGACAATGCTATAATGAAGCAGAGGAAAGAAGGTTGACCATCAGGCCCTTTCTGCCTGTAAAAATGACTCAATGAGAAAAGCCCACCCAGAAATGAATTTTCAAAGAGAAGAGACCCACGCATGAGATTACAAAGGCATTTACTGGGGTAACTATCTGCATTCCCTTTGTTAGCTCCTCAATTCCAGAGCCTTCTGTGTGTGTGTACACAGTTCACAATTGCCTGAACATGCTAAGTGTCTGTCCTGGCCCTCAACGGCATAGGATCAACAAAATGCAAAAAATAATGGCTTAGCACAAAAAACAAGGCAGTAGTCTAAAATCAAAACACATATTCTAACAGTTGCTGCCGTCAAAATACTTGCTAAATTAATTCTTTTGTTTGTTATTATTTTTTTGGATCTGTTAATAAAATCAGTGGTGTCTAACTGTCTTAGATGTTGCAGTGCTGGAAGACACAGTAAATGCAGAGGTGACAGCTGTATGAAGACTGATTTGCTGCAATGCGTCTTGCACTGTATTGCATTTAGTGTAATGGATCAAGAAAGAAAAGACTCAAGTTACATGTTTTTGTGACTGAATTTTAAATGCCAGTATTATATTAATACTTGCATTCATCAGTTATTCAATTGAGTGATTCAACATCTTTCTAGTGAAAAAATAAGACAGTGGTGCTTCTTTTGTAAAAAGAATAACACTTCTCCACTCAGTGTTTTC